GACGAGAGGGCACAGAACGGCCAAGAATTAAACTGCACACGTCCCAGGCATGGCACGTCCTCTTTGTGCTCTGGCATGAGAGGAAGGACAGGCCTCGTGAGCCCTCCGTGCACTCTGGGGACCTGCGGTCCTGGCCAGGCCTCCTCCACTGGCCACACACGTGGGGCTTTCCACAGGAGGCCACGGGAAGGACGGAGCTCAGTCAGCCGAATGAAGGACGGTAACTGGTCATCAATGCAGACATCCGACCCTGGCACAGAGACATCCACCTGGAGCCGCACGCAGCTGGAAAGGCCTCGCCGTTTTTAGATTCACTCAGATCAGCCATGCTGTTCCTACACATTGGTAACTTAAGAATCAGAGCTCTGGGGGATCCCTCTCTGAGCCCTACATTTCATTAGTGAAACCATTTCTACCTGCTCTGATGCAGCTGTTACAACAAGACCAAGCGACAGTTCCCAAATCAGGCTGCCGGTAGCTGGGGTACTGCCGGGCATCAGATGTGAGGGTCCAGGTATCTCTTTTACTCACCACACCCCCAGTGTGACCATGCTGTGCAGCCAGTACTGAAAACCCGGAGTTAGGCCCCGGCCGGCGGTACCGCCATGCAGAGCCCACCAAGGACGGGACTGACGGAAGGTCAGAAACTGCAGCAAACACTCACCGGCTTAAAGCAACGACACCCACAGATGAAACCATCACCCATTTCTTGGGTGATTCTACACAACACACAGGAAGGGGTTCTTGTTCTGTGTTTAAGGTGCTCTGGCCAAAATCTGGCAACAAGGGAAGACATTCCACAATGAAAGACCGGAGATGGGCAGACAGGTGATGTCTGGCTCTGAAGACCTGTGAGCACCGCCTTCCCTGGTGACCCCCAGACTGTGGAGCAGATGTGAGGTGTGAGCACCTCCTGCCCAGTGACCCCATCCTGTGGAACAGATCTAGGGGACTAGTGTAGCATACTGTTCTTTGCTTCCCTTCCCCAAACTCTGCCTGTACCTTGGTACACACATTGCCTGAAAACACACCCACACAACCACTTCAACACGATCCAGTTTCTCAGATCCCAGAATAAACTTTGGCTACAGGTCAGCACGGAAGCACGTTTACCCACAGGAAATGGTGTCCTGGGCAGGGGTGCGGCCTCAACAGAACGCACTGGTGGTTTCCCCAGCCGCCAGCACGGCAGAGCCCCTGCCCTTGAGCAGGTGCCCAGCAAGGCCACAGAGAGTGAGCGCCAGCCCCGCGGCCCTGCCCTGATTTAGTACTCCTGCTGCTGGATCCCAAGGAAGTCGGCCAGAGCGAAGTCGTTTGAGACAAGAAATCGATCGAGACTCTGGACAGCTCATCAACAGCCAGACTTTGTTCTTCAGGGGTGACATCGGGCAGTTTGCCCATCCATCTTTCTGGCTGTCCTCCGAGTCACTGTCACCTCATCAGTCAGCCTCGCAGGACGTGACGGCCCGTCACCCCACTGTTAGCATGCGTTTTCTTCAGCAGGATGACCTTCGGACCTTCGGATGTGTGACTTAAACACCACTGCAGGTTTCTGGTCACCCCCTTCCATTGCTTTACACAAATTCCTTAAACACAAGCTTAAACAAAACCTCAATATTTAATAAAAGCATTTTACTAATATAAATGTCTAACTTCACAACAGTTCAGGGTTGCAATCTTTTATCGACGACCACATCAAATTTGTTTTGATATTTAGTTGTGCTGCAGTTTTAAGAAATTCCAAGGTGGTGCCAAGAACCACAAAGGGCTGAGCTGACCCTCCCTGCGAGCTGCCCTGGTGGCCTCTCACCCCCAGCACCTCACAGGAGAAAGGAGCATCCTGATGACAGACCACGGCCCTCCGTGCTCAGAGCAGAGCGGGCTCGGTGGGCGAGGCACCATTTGCTTCCCGGCCCCTAGCTGGGCCCTTGTGGAGAGGCGGGAGAAGGCCCAAGAAGCCAAAGACACAAAACCGGAGCTCTGGGAGCAGATATGAAAACCCTGTGGGTTTTCCCCCTTGGAGTGCTGACTTGTCCAAGATGCACTCTCATTTTCACAACATCTAAGCTACACAGGGGCACATCCACAAAGTCAATTCCATCAAGCTTTACACCAGCAAGACCACCTCAGAGAGTGGAACACCAAGGTGGCAGGTGGGGCCTCCCGCAAGCCAAGGATGAGGTTCTCTGCCATGTTTCCACGTGAACCTCCCACAGCCAAGGACACCAATGAGCCCATCCATGCACACACCATCCATGGCCCCGGCCAGGAGCACAACAGGCCAATCCTGCTGCCCTGGTCTTTATCAACATGCACAAACCCAGAGCTTCACAGAGAAGCTCACGGCTTTAAGGGGCTCTGGTCATGGATTTTAAGTAGACAATAGTGTTACACTGTATTTATGCTCTGATTTCAGAGGGGTTGATACAGCAAAACTCTATTAAACAAATAACCTCTCCCTAAAGTTTCTCCCCATATGCTTGTTGCACAAACCAAGCTGGTCATGATGATATTTAAAAAAAGCAAGACAGGCTGTGGAGAGGGGTGTGAACCTGCCACCCAGCAGTGTGTCCCCACGGTCCATACAGCCAGGGGGGAAGTGAGAGGCCCGAGAGCCCAGGCATCCCAGTGAGAGCCATCGTTCATCCACCCGTTCACGGACACTCTGACCCTCGATGCTCTAATCCCCGGGGACATTCCGAGAACTGAAGGAAAACCTGTGCCCTTAGGGTTGACCTAGGAGGAGATGATTCTATGGCCTCAAGGTGGTCAGCGCTACGGTAAGTGCAGGGTCAGGGCAGGATCGGAGGGACGGTGCAGTGTTGAGCGGCCGGGGCCCTGCTGAGTGACGTGCGGGCAGACTTACAGAGGCGAGCGAGCCGAGGGCAGGCTGAGGGTCCGCAGAGACAGCGCTGACTGGGGGGGGTGGCACAGACAGAAGGGCAGCCAGCGCAGCTGGAGCAAAATGGTGAGGGTGGGAGAGGTGAGAAGGGGCAAGGCCTGGCGCAGCTAGGAGGCGGCCAGCTACAAGTCCTTCCCACTTCTTCTCCCATTCCGGGGAGCAAAGGCCTGCTCAGCTTGTTCCTCCACTGCTGTGCCAGCCCCACAGAGCATCCCTGCCAGGTCTGCTGGGCACTCCTGTGGCTCCCGAAGCAGGGCTGGGAACGAGGGCTCTGCAATGCCCACCTGCGAAGTCTGTCAGTGACGGGCTCGGCCACTGGGCTCTGCGTCAGGGCGGGACCTACTCTCCCTGTTTACGGGGGATCTGGAGACAGCTCTCCCTCCTTTGCCCCAGTAATCAACCACCGCTGGAGTGTGGACAGACGGAACCCACGAGCACTCTGTGCGGGGGGAGCAGCGTGCAGAAACTTACACAAGGAGGAGGCTTCCCTGTGTGCCACCCTGGTCCCGGGGAGGCCTCCACGTGGATGGAGAACTAGGGGTCTTGGAGAGCCCAGAGCACTGCTGCATTCTGCACAAGCCTCGCAGTCAGGTGCAGCCTCCCTGCCCGTGGCTACCCCACGTGCCCTCTGCAGCCACTCCTGCCAAGCAGACAACAGCCTCAGATGCTGCTCCCCAACCCCACCCCCAGTCCTCCCTTCGGTGCAGCGATCCATGGGCTGGGGTGGGGGCAGTGCTGAGAACCGCAGGCTTGGTTGGAAGGGCCCTCAGTCAGAGCCCCACAGTGAAAGGAGGTGGGGGAGGTGGCCTGGCCTCTGGGCCAGGAGGCCGTGTGTAGGTCTTTGTCCTTAAAGGTGAACAGTGCCTCAGCACCATGCCCTGAGAGGCATCTTTAAGCTGCAGACTCTCCGTTCATCTAAAAACATTAAGAGTCCTGCAGCTGAAAAATAAAACACAAGAAGATGAAGACAGAGGTCAGTGGCTGAAGGAGGGAAGTCCCGGAGCCCCTATCCCAGAGCTGGCCTGGGCTCTCAGGACAGGGTCTGAAAGGCTCCGGGGGAGTTGCACACCAGGTCACACGGGCCAAGTGGCAGTGGCAGATCCCAGGTCCTTTCCCCTTCAAAGCAGTGTCCTTCATGGCTGTGCTCTGCTCAGTAGTGCCAGCTCCACTCCCACTTCCCTCTCCATGTAGCCACAACCACACGTCCCCTCCCCCGTGACCTCACAGCACGTTGGGAAGGAACAACCTGCTAAAAAGGAGACAAGCAAAGAAACTAACAAAGAGCCCCCAGCTGGACCATCTGCACCAGAACTGCTGGAAGCCAGTGTGGTTGGCTGAAGAACGGCCCCAAAATGTTCCTCTTCTCCAGGGGTGTGATCCTCATGTTGTAGAAGGGATCTGCAGGTGTGATTAAGTTAAGGATGTTGAGATAAGGAGGCTGCCCTGGATATCTGGGCAAGCCCACTGTGATCATGGGGTCCCTAAGGGAGGGAGACAGAGGGAGAGGTGAGCACAGAAGCAGAGACTGAAGTGACATAGCCACAAGGCAAGAATGTGGTGCCTCTATTTTTTTTTTTTTTTATCCTCACCCGAGGACATTTTTCCATTTTTTACTCAGATAGAGCAGGAAGGAGAGAGAGGAAGAGAGAGAAACATCGAAGTGAAAGGGACACATCGAGTGGCCACCCACACGACCCAACCAGGGCCGGGGACAAACTGCAGCCAAGGTACATGCCCTTAGCGGGAACCGAACCCGGGTCTCTGTGGACCGCAGGCTGATGCTCTAACCGCTGAGCCAAACCGGCCAGGGCTGTGGTGCCTCTATTAACTGGAAGAGGCAAGAACAGGTTCTCCCCTGGAGCCTCCAGGTGGAATCAGCCCTGCCAACCCCTTGACTTTAGCTCCATGAGACTCATTTTGGACATGTGACTTTCAGACTGTAAGAGGATAAGAGTGGGCTGTTTTAAACCCCCAGACTGGGATCATTTGTTATAGTGGCAACAGAACACTTACACCATTGGCAGAGTTTACGAGAGAGGAAGGAGCCTGGTCCTCAGGTGCCCAATCTGGCCAGGCCGAGAGCTGGTCCCCAACTTACCAGCTCGGCGTTGAACTCTGGGAGCATCACACAGGTGGCTCCCACCCAGAGTGGACAGAGCAGCTTGTTGACCACGCCGTGGACGTGGTGCAGTGGGAGGACATGAAGGATCACATCGTCTTGAGTCCACGCCCACTTGTGGACCAGCCCGGTCACCTGCAGGACAATAGCACAGCCTCAGACGGAGGGAAGCCGCCATGCAGATGGAGGAACTCCGAGGGGGCCTCCCAGCTGAGGGTGGGGAGAGGAGGCTCATTCTTTGTTAGCCCATCTTTAATGGCATCTACTGAGGACTATGCTTTACCCACTAGCCCTCTGTTGGAGAATAGAGGCACATAGTCAGGGGCTTGAGTCAGTGCGAAAGGGTCTTTGATTCGGTGTCTGTGGCCTCTGCAAACACTCTTGATGGCTCTTCCCCCAGGTGGTCAGAGGTGCAATTTCAGCTCTAACAGGCCCTGGGACTTGGGTCCTCACCAGAGGCCAGTGCTGTATCCAGTGCCCACCCTTCGAAGCCTGTCTGAGCTTCCTGGCACTTCCAGCACCACCCTCAGCTCAGCCGTGAAGGAACCCAGAGCTGGGTGTTCCAGGCACACCCTCCGCTTATACTGAGAAGCAGCAGGAGACTCGCCCAGCTGAGTCACCACTGAGCACACTGTCCTGCATGCCTCGGTGCCCGCTCTGTGCAAGAGACGGCCTCTCCAGACGGAAAGTATGTCCTCTAGGAGGTACAGGTGATAGATCAATCGTGCTCCCTTGCAGCCAGCCTGGATAGTTTACTGCTGACTCACGGGACTGAGTTAGCCTAAATTCAATGGCACTGACCTCCTTCTTCTTGTGGTTTGAGTTTCTGTTTTATCCTACTGCTCCTACTGTATAATAGTCTTTAATTTGCATGGAATAGTTTTTTGGAAGGAAGAAAGGTACAAATTACAGATAAATAACGTGGCTGGGGTTTTGCAAAGACGGTAACTAAGGCTACAGAGCACAAAAGTAACACCCAAGACACGGGCACATGTGAATTCCTTCCTGCTTTCAGGTGTCACAAACAAGCCCCATTTAGGTGCTGATCACACATCCTGATATTTGCTTTGCGCTCATCTCTGAAGAGCACCTTAACGTCATGTCCAGTGGTCCAATCTGTCCTGCACATGCCACACTGCCCGGGGGGAGCCCCTCGATGGGCTGAGTGTTGCAGCCCCTCAGCCCTTTCCCAGGAGCTGCCCTACATGGTTGAGTGGACTGCTGCTCACATGACCCTTCACTGCCGCATGTTTCGGGGAGGGTCGCTAGGATGGTGACAGCTGTGAATGGCCCTACAGAAAGTACACGAACACCACACCATCCCCATCAGCCGTGCCGTAACTGTGTCGATGACTGCCGGACCCTCCCCACAGCGGTGGCCCACGCAAGCACTCACCACAGCCCCGATGTTGTGGTGGGTGCTCAGGACACCCTTGGGCCTCCCTGTGGTCCCACTGGTGTAGATGATCATGGCGCCCCGGTCTCTCCAGTCTCGCTCTGGCACCTCCCCCGCCCCGTGCTCTTCGGCTGCCCCATTATAGACTGCAGGTGGGAGAGGCAGGAGCGGGACCCCCAGCTTCCTGACCACTGGACCCAGGAGCTCCACGTATTCTTGGCCAGCAAGGACCACAGAGCTCCGGGAGTCTTGGATGAAGTACTCCAGGTCGGCCTGGGGGTGCTTCCTGTAGAGAGGGACAGCGATGCCACCGCTCATCCAGGAGGCCCACTGCGAGACCACGTAGGAGACGTCATTGGAGCACATAAAGGAGACCCTCTCCTCCTTCAGGTCCTGGCCGGCACACTCACGGAGCCTGCAGATCTCCTGGGCCAGGCGGAGGCTGCGGCAGTACAGGTCCTTGTACGTGTGGCGGCCATGCTGGTCAACGAGGGCCACTCTGTCTCCAAAGGCCAGGGCCCGGGTGAACACGGGGGCACTCTTGAAAGAGCGGGCTTCGAGGGCTACGTGCAGAGGGCGGCTTCCTCCACGTCTTAAGGGAGCCATCTGGCGGGAGACCACTGCACAGACTAGGCGACACGCGGACATCACTCTGGGCGGCATTGACAAACATCCGCTTGGTTTCCCTGGGGCGGGGCTAGAAGAGGAAGTGAGGGCATCACATGTTACTGTGCCTGACCGGGTCCTAATTCACCCAAAGATTTAAACCACCCAACCAGACCAAGTTGGCCTAACTTTCCATCGTAAGGGAACATTCTAAATAGGATATGCTGACTCTCACAATATACCACCTTTGGCATTTAAATGCCCAACATGTAATCTCATTAGCTTAAGGATTTCAAAAACATAAGAGTCTAAAACAATGAGCTAAACTAGGAAAACCAAGGAGAAGCACATAGAATTCAATGCACTTGTGGGGAAGCGGGAAAATTCCTTTTTCCCTCCTCTGGTTCTTTTGGCTAGACAGATCATCAACAAGAGACAGACTGAGCAGGAAAAATCAAATTTAATTTCATGTGCACGGGACCCCCACATACATGAGAAAGTCAGAGACCCTGCATATATAAGAGGTTCAGAGACAGAAAAGAAAATGAGGTAAATATGACATTCTGAGCTAAGGATGAGGTAAGGTAACTTGGGGCTTTAGAAGGTCATTGCTGGATAAGAGCAGAGGGTCAGTAAATAGAAGTTTGCCCTGTCCTATACATAGGTCAGAAAATGTCATCTCTGAAAATCCCTTCTTATAGGCAATTGATAAATTCAAATCCTCTAGAGAGTTCAGAGGGGTGGGGGTGGGGACAGCAGGAGTTTCTCTCAAGCCCACAAGGTCTCAGTTGCCTTTAGCTCCAAATAGGCCATGTACCAGAGGCACATCTTGGGGTGGCTCATTCTGAACCCCCATATACTTAAGGTAAATTCTGAAACATTGTTTTTAGAAACCTGAGCCTGGGAAGACTAGCGAGGAGGGATGAGCACCAAGGGCCACTAAGCCCGTGCTCTCCCTCAGCAGGCGAGTCTGGAGGACGAGGGGTCCCACAGACTCAGGCCTTGAGTCTGCTCTCAAACGCTTCCCCAACCATGAACACTTGGGAACCTGGTGACGTGCAAGGTCTTAAATAAAGCAAGTTCATGTGTCTGAAGACTTTCCATCTGTTTTTTTTTAAAGCTGAAACATAATTCTTTCCTCTCTCCTCCAAAACATAACTACTAAATAATGACCAAAACGGTCAGCAAGAAGTGAGAACTCACTGGGGAGGCTGTGAACAGCTGACTTCCCACTAGAATTCTTTGGAGCCGGAGACAGAAGAGACCTGGGGAGGGGCCCTGGTCCATCCCCAGCCCCTGCCTTCGAGAGCAGTCCTGACTCTGGGCTCACGGTCCACTCTAGGACACTTCCCCACAGCGACAGGCCCACAAGGAAGCTCGCACTTTCCAAACTGCTTCTGCACTGATGGCAATTTATAACTGAAGTCTAGCTCAGTTCAAGAGGTCAGGAGCCCACCTGCTACCCTAGGCTCTTCACTACCAGCATAATTGAAAACGGGTCCCTCCCAGTGCCAGCGCAGCCTATTAAGGTTAATGACCACTTGCCCTGGTTTGAAATCCCCGATTTCACAGCTCCTTCAGGAATCACTCCGCCCGTTACAGCCTCTGGAGCTAAGAGTGGCCGCTGCTCCCCCTCCCTGAGCACCTGCTGGCCTCCGCTCCTCTCTCAGCTTCGACTGTGGCTCTGGGTCAGAGCAGCATCCGTGACAGGGAGCTGAGGAGTGGGCCAGCTGAGTTGTTCCTGGAGGGTCGGGGCAGGCACAGGGACCCTAGAGGGTGCTTCCGAATGCCAGGGGCTGACAGGATGCCTTCCAGTGGGCCATCCAGTAACACTGGAGAATAAAAGCTATACCCCCCCCGCCCCAACAGGTCCTGAAAATCAAGGAAGGCCAGGAATCACCAGCAGGCAGCCCTGCCCCGAGGAGGTGCCCAGGCTGCCCCAGGGCTGGCGCTGCCTCCTTCAGAGTTCTCTCTCCGTCTTCCACACCCGAGTCAGGGGTTTTCCTTCCGTGCTCAGCATGTTCTCTCTGACAAATCCTCCCTTTTCTCTCTCATTAACTTGCTGCAGGGGGAACGAATGTGCTACTGTTTGTTATCTGTATGTACTAAACAGTTTTATTCTGTTCTTAATTTAAAAAACAGATTAGATACAACACTTTATAATTACCTAACAAAACAAACTCCACAACAATAAAAATAGCTGGAGCCGAGGTACGCTTTGCCCAGTGCCTGTTAGCCTTCTTGGCTGGCTTGCCCTGCAGCCAGGGGCCCCTGGTAAGACAGTCTCCCGCCCAGCCAGGTGGGAGGAAATGCCACACCTCAGAGATACCCCACTCTGCCCACAGGGGTTTCATGCAGAGGCCTCTTAGCTCTGGCTGGCTGCTCCCAGGGCCTGTGCAAATATTCCTTAAGGCTCCAGGGCCTTTAACAAAGTTTAGTTCCAAGTACACTCGCCCACACAGTTTCCAGATGAAAGAGGCCACCTATCAAACGCCAGAGGGTATCCTAGGACTTCTCTGTGCTCTGCCCTCCGCTCATTCAGAGGCGGGTTCACATCTGGTCTTACACCCCGGATTTCTGTTACTATAATGAAACCCGTCATACTGTAAGAAAACAGCTAGGCTTGACCAGAGGAAACAAGAAATGTGATAAAACATGTGAGACATGCCAGTTTTAGAAAGCAAGCAAGCTAGCGAAAAGCAAACCAGAGCAGTTTTAAGATGTTTTCTTTTCTCACTTCTAGCAAATTCATCTCTATTTGCTTGCGGCTGGGTGGTGGTGGAGGGGGGACTAAAACAAAGAGAGTGGGCAAACGGAAAATAGAACACCTACTAGTATTTCTGAGTTATGGCTGAGGCCAGTTTCCTGCTGGTGAGAGCACAGGGGATGTTCCAGGGGGTGCTAGTTTCCAGTGATGGCACTTTCTGGGGTGCTAAAAAGTCGAATGCTCAGGCAGCCAGGTGCCGCACACAGACACAAGGAGGACAGACCGAGCGATGAGCTGGGCTGCTTCTCCCACCCCTCCGCCAGGAAGGCATGAGTGAGTGTCAGATGCCAAGCCACAGCTACAGCCACCAAAATCAACAGAATCTCCCGTCCTCAAGGCCTCCTCTCTGGGGTCTTAGAGAACCTCTGCCTCACTCCCCTGGGGCACCAGGAGCTGCACCTGCTGAGGGAGGGGGGCAGTCAGCTTGAGATGGGAAACTGGAAAAGTGGCCCGCCCTCCCTGCCTGGCCTGGGCTGCGGGTGAGGTCCGGTGGGTGGCTGTGAATGGATGCAGTGCACAGTCATAGCAACAACTCCAGGGGAAACTTAGAGGCCACAAAGTAACAGGCCCGAAGCAGTGATCCAAACCCAGGCCTGCTGGTCCCACCTGTCTGCCCTACGCTTAGTGGTGGGGAGCCTGCGATGGAGGAGCGTCAGTGATGGGGAGCACGCTGAGAGAAGACATCAATATGAACTCAACAGTGTCTCACAGGCTGCCTGCAGGGCTGTCTCAGTCTAGGTGAGGCCCATGGCAGTGCCTCATCCATCCCAAAGGGTACTTCCCAATTTCTTCAAAGTGAGACATGAAAATAGAAAAGGTGGGTCCTCTGTTCCACGGTTGTATTTTAAAATGTATCCTAAGATGCCCTGGCCAGTTTGGCTCAGCTGTTAGAGCATCAGTCTGCAGACTGAAGGATCGAAGGTTTGATTCCCAGTCAAGGGCACGTACCTGGGTTGCAGGTTGAATCCCCGGCCCCAGTTGGGCTCATTTAGGAGGTAACCAATCAATGCGTTTCTCTCACTTCTCTCTCTCCCTACCATGGATGTTCACAGCAGTGTTATGTATAATACTGAAAAACTGGGACTAAACCAAGTGGTCCAGAAGAAGTCAAAGGAAATCAGGGCATATACACGGGGATGCTGGGGCCACAGCCCTACTGTGGGTAGCACAAGTTGGCTGGGAGAGACTCCGCAATACCGCTGAGGAGAAAAGGATAGTCAGAGTTAAAAAGATTTGAAGTAAACACCCAGATGTTCACGGGGTTACGGAGCTACAGGCGATTTTTTTCTTCTCAGTGCTTCTCAATTTTCTCCAGCCTTTCCACAATTGACATGTAGGACTTTTTAAATCGGACTTAAAAAGTCTACTAAATGTCTTTAGTTTTTAAAAATGGAGATGGATTTTTTCTTTTATACAAAAGAAATAAACATAAACATAAAATATGTGCTCTGGATGGTGGATCTAAAGGGTGTTTGTAACTATCTGTAGCTCTTTAATTTCTCAAAATAATAGAGGTAAATTAAAAATGAGAAAACAGCCCTGGCCGGTTTGGCTCAGCAGTTGGAGCGTCGGCCTGCGGTGCAGAGAGACCCGGGTTCGGTTCCCGTTAAGGGCATGTACCTCGGTTGCAGTTTGTCCCCGGCCCTGGTTGGTTGTGCAGGTGGCAGCCACTCGATGTGTCCCTTCACATTGATGTTTCTCTCTCTCTCCCTCTTCCTCTCTCTCCCTCCCACTCTATCTGAACAAAAAATGGAAAAATGTCCTCAGGTGAGGATAAAAAAAAAAAAGAGAGAAAACAGCATTCTTTTTTTAAAAATCCTCACCCAAGCATGTTTTTATTGATTATCACAATTTTTTTTGTTCTCACCCAAGGTTATTTTTTTCCACTGATTTTTAGAGAGAGTAGAAGAGAGGGAGAGGGACAGAGAGAGAAACATTGATGTGAGAGAGATACATCAACTGGTTGCCTCCCGCATGCACACCAACAGGGGTTGGGGATCAAACCTGTAATCCAGGTACATGCCCTTGACTGGGAATCAAACCTGTGACCCTTTGGTCTGTGGGCCAATGCTCTAACCACTGAGCCCCCAGTCAGGGTGTTTTTATTGATTTTAGAGAGGAAAGGAAAGAGAGAGAGAAAACACTGATCAGCTGCCTCCCGTTTGTGCCCAGACTGGGGATTGAACCCACAACCTAGGTATGTGCCTTGACTAGGATTCAAACCTGCAACCTTTTTGGTATATGGGGATGACGCTCCAACCAACTGAGCCACCTGGCCGGAGCAATAGAATTCTTCTTTCAGTTGAAGCTATTCATTCATAAAAGGTATAGCAGACAATGAAATAGTTAAGTTTTGACAAAAGCCATTCAAATGCACACTGGGATAACGCTGAGTACCAATTAGGTCATGCATCTGCAGCAGCAAGAGACTTGGGTGCCCTCACCCCGAATCACCTGCCATCAAGTCTCTGAGTGTCTGGGAGGTGGCAATACCTAGTTGGGCTCTACATGGGGACAAGTATGAGCCAGACAGACACAGCCCTGGCCTCTAACCAGAGCACTCCTGAAGGCAGGCCCTTCTAGAAGGAGCAGTATAGCTAGAGCTCAGGATGAGGAGCCAGCCAAGCAAACATGCAGAGAAGGAGACTCAGGTGGCAACTGTAATTGTGGTCATACCTGGGTGTTTGTGGAGCAGATGCTGACAAGTGGCCCTGCACAGTGCTCCCCAAGGAGCCTCACAACAAAAAAATCACTTTTAATTTGGGTAAATATTACCAGAGGAGCCTCCAGAGAGGTTGCACTCATTTATTCTCTCACTAAACACATAGGAGCATGGGGCCACCACTCATTCAAAACAGCTTTTATGTCCCTTAGCTATGTGACCCTGAAACACTGCATCATAATTCTTTCAACACAGAGCTAAAATCTTCAAAGTCATGGGGATTGGGACCTGCTTTGAACAAGTTAAGAAAAAAATTGATTCAGGGAAGATGTCTGTGTCCTGAACACTCCAGATCCAGAAAGACCCTAAGCAAGAGAGCCCCCACCTTACAACCACAGGCTTCCTTTAGTCATGAAGCTCTCCATCACCTCCAGAGGCACAGCTATTACCAAGTAAATGCAATTTGACCATGGGTTTTCTGTTTCCATTAACACACTTCATAAAACTGCTTAGCATCCTAACCAACCTTAGATAACCAATGTCACTGTGCATCGATGTGCAAGCACAGAAACCTGCCTTCTGGTAAGTCAGGACGGCCTTCTCCCAGAGGACATGCTGTGCTCAGACTCCTCCAGGAGGCAGGAGCCCATCCGGAAACCCAGCAGAGACCCAGCAGAGATCATCCAGATTCTCGGGTCGGACCACCAAGGCACATGGACTTCTCAGAACCCTCACTCAACACCAGGGAGTTCATATCTTTTGGTTAAGGGGTCAGATTTCAGAGTCAATACAGAGGCAGACTGGAACATCCTCCTTTCTTCCGCCTTTCTCTAAGCCTTCAACTCCCCATCTGTAGACAGAGTAATAAGAAGACCTGCACAGAGAGCTGTGAGAATGGCCTGGCACACACCGAGGGGGAAGCAAATGGCTGCATACCCTCACCAGGGAACTGCATGACAAAAATTATCTGATAAGAATGATACTTGCATTCAAATGAAGGTGGCTGGTTTCAAAATGAATAAAATGGCACCTGACTGATTACCATCACTCAACACCTCTACCCCCCCTGACCCTGAACTTCAAGTGGACCCCAGCACTTCCTGTTGTCTGCTGCCTGAGAGGGGAGGGAGAAGTGGACTTCACTCTCCCTGCGGTAGACATTTGTTTCAACACGATGCCTGCGGTTTGGGGCAGGTTTTTCTTGAAGTTATATTTTTAAGTAACAGACATTCACGTTGCATTCACGAGTACGACATTCAAATGAAAAAACCAAAAAGGAAAAACACACTTAAACCTCCATCCATATTAGCAAGTAAAATACTATTTTTAAAATGCCACCTGGAGGGAGGAAGCTTCCTATCCCAGGCCCACAGTTTAATCCACCAATTCACACTGCCCTGAACAGGAGTCCTGGGATATGGGGTGAGAGCAAGGAACCCTCAATTGCAACAATCACAGCAGAGACTGGAGAATGATCACTCCGTTGTCATGTTTCACCGCAGAAACCTCTGGGGCCCCCTGAAACCCACTGGTAATGCCTGTGCTCCTGGGCCCAGCTTTGTCACCCCTTGACCACCGTCCATGACTAACCCCCAACCACAAACATCTCCCCTCCCCCGCGGGGAATCAACCACTCCCCAAACACGTGATTTCTGTTCCCACATCCTAGTTTTCCCATCCTTTCCCTTTTTTGCAAACTCCTAATGATCCTTCAAAGCCCCGCTCAGTATCACCTCCTCTTTCAAGTCTCCCCTCTCTCCGGAAAGCTGCCCGCTCACAAGGCCTGCACAACACCTGGCACCTACATAGTGCCATGTTTGTGTAGAGTAACGTGCCCACAGGTAGTTAAGGATGATCCCTGCAGGCCCAGTGAGAACAGAAATGGACTTCGGACATAACAGATCAGGTTTCCCTCTAACAGTGGCTAAGCGTGGACGCCACTCCACGAACCCCAACATCCTTCCAGGACCACTGCCCGAGCACCCCGCGGAGGGCAGGGTCCTCCACGTGACAAGGGCACCTGCCGCCCAAGGACAACCTGCCAGGTGGCAGGAGGAAGGGGGCTGGGACGCGGGGCCAGCAGCCCGAGCAGCCGCGCGCCGGCTGGGGAGCGGGAGGAGGCGCCGGGGCGCGCAGCGGGGCGGGACGGCGGGGCGGCGGGCTGTACCTCGGCCGGCGCGGCTTCCCGCTCCTCCTCCTCCCGCCGGGTCGGAACCGGAACCGCAGCTGCGCGCGCACCCCACGTCCGGTTCCCACGCGTATCCCCACCCCGGCGCGGAGCGGCGCCGAGGCGGCGGGTTCCGGCCGCGAACGTTCCCCCTGGTCCCCTTGTGCGACCCCGCGGCGCCCGGAGTGAGGCCCGCGGAGCGAGAGGGGTTTACTTGGCACCTCACTTAATTCAGTATCCCGACTGGACCGCACAGCTGTAGACCAAAGTGTCCCCATATTAGGATGTACAGCGGGCCCATTAAAACGCATCTGGGCCCCAGCCCTCCCTGGGATCCGGAGAGCCTGTGGCCAGCTGGGTGCCGGAGAGGACTTGGATCCTGGACACTGGCCATCCTCTAGGGCGACAGATGTTCTAACTTCCCGCACAGCGAAGGAGACCGTTTACAGCCAGACACACAAGACCATTCAGTGGGCTGAAACGTGTTTTTTCTTTCTTTTTTTCCTAAAATAAAAATAACACTTTGACGGCTTGGCCGTCCAACAATATGCGCAAATTATCTGCACACAGTTTAGATAATGTGTAGAACCTACACACAGTTTTTCTCCGGGCCCCTCTTCCTTCCTTGACGAGCCCCGGAGATCCCTCCGGAGCCCGAGAATAGTTTTGTTGGGAGGAAAAAAGCTGGGTTTCAGGGAAGATTACGGCATTGAACATGGGCCATTGAACTTGTGGGGCCTTGGCTGCTACCCTGCCAGGTGTCATGCAGAAGAGATGAGTGTGATTCTCTGTCATAAGCCAACAAGATGCTCTAAGAAAGAACATTCCAACATAAAGAATCTCTTGGACATTAAGAATCGAATAGCCCAAGTGAAGAAGGGATGAAAAACCTCCTAGAAATCGAACAAAAAGACTTAAGGGATGGAAAACAGGAGACGAAAGAAAAGCAAATGGGCCCGTCCATGAGATCCAATATGAAAAAAAAGAGTAGTTTTAGGAAGAGAGAGCAGAGAAGACAGAGGGGAGGAAATCATTAAAAACTTTAAGATAGCCCTGGCCAGTTTGGCTCAGCGGTTGGAGCGTCGGCCTGCGGACCAGAGAGCCCCGGGTTCGGTTCCCACTAGGGGCACGTACCAAAACAAACAAACAAAAATTTAAGACAATTAGTGAAACTGAGAGGCATGGGCTTCTGGGTTGAGGGCCACAGAGTGTCTGGTACAGTGAGGAAAAGTGAGCCCACAGCAACTGAGCAAATAACATTGGGATATTTCAGAACACGGGGGTATGGAAGATCCTACACTGCACACCCAACATCTCACTTGGATGTCCAAAAAGTCCAACACCTGGCATGGCCCCACCTGAACTCAGAATCTTCCCCATTATGGACTGAATGTTTGTGTCTCCCTGAATTCATGTGATGAAACCTAACGCCCAATGCCATGGTATTAGGAGAAGCTTAAGTCATGAGGGCAGAGATGCCATGAATGGGGTTAGTGCCCTTATGAAAGAGACCCCAGAGAGCTCCCTTGTCCCTTCTGCATGGGAGGAGGACACAGAGAAAAGAAGATCATCTAGGAAGAAGCGGCTCTCCCCACACACTGGATCTTGCCTTGATCTTGGACTTCCAGCCTCCAGAACTGGAAGAAAAAAATGTGTGTTGTTTGTAAGCCACCCCGTCTGTAGTGTCTGTTACAGCAGACCGAACGGACTGAGACAGTCCCTAAGCAGTTGCCTTCCCATCTTATTCATCATTCCTGGTGCTTAGTCATCCAGATTCCTCTCCTTCCTGCCTGCCTCACATCCAGTCCTCATGGCCTTTCCTTCAAAATCTTCCAGAACCAGCCACTCCCCACCATCTCCACTGCAACCACCCCAGGAGGCCTAGGAAACCCTGATTTCACAGGCAGATTGCTACAGTAGCCTCCTCCAGGTCTCCCTAACAGCGCTCCCTTCAGTCTGTTCCTAACACAGCAGCCAGAGTGGCCCAGTTAAAACCTGAGTTGCCTGGCTGGTGTGGCTCAGTGGACTGAGCATGTCCCATGGACTGAGGGGTCCTGGTTCCATTCCTGGTCAGGGCATATGCCTGGGTTGTGGGCCCGATCCCCAGTTGGGGGCATGCAGGAGGCGACCAATCAGTGTTCTGTCTCATCAATGTCTCTCTCTCTCTCTCTCTCTCTCTCTCTCTAAAAATCAATAAAGAAAAAACCCCACAAATAACCTGAGTCAAGTCAATCAGATGGTCCCAGAGACACTTCTGGAAGTAACATCACCATGGCTGCTCAAAGAGAACCCCAAGTTCAGTTCAAACTTGCATCGGTTGGTGATGGTAGCACTGGTGAATGTGAGAAGTGTGTAGCCACCCTGGGTGTTGAGGTCCATCTCATCATGTTCCATGCCAACAGAGGGCCTATTAATTCAGTGTGTGGGATACAGCGGGCCAGAAGAAGTTCAGTGGACTGAGACATGGCTGTTATATCCAGCCCAGGGAGCCATCATAATGTTTGATGGAACTTCAAGAATCTCACGAGAATGTGCCTAACTGGCCTAGAGATCTGGTAGGAGTGTGTGAAAACATCCCCCTCATGTTGTATAGCAACAAAGTAGATGCTAAAGACAGGAAAGTTAAGGCAAATCATTTGTCTTTCACTGATAGAAGTGTCTTCCGTACCATGACATTTCTGCCCAAAGTAACTACGACTCTGAAAAGCCTTTCCTCTGGCTTGTTAGAAAACTGATTGGAGACCCTCACTTGAAGTTTGTCGCCATGCCCGCTCTTGCCCCGTCTGAGGTCATCACGGACCCAGCTTTGGCAGTGCCGTGTGAGCACGATGCGGAGGTTGCTCCGAGCACCGCTGTCCGGGGCGAGGATGACGACCCGGGAGGAAGAGAAGTTGGAGCCTGGCGTGTCCAGTTTTACAGGCAACTGTCCTGTGATGTCAGCGCTGCAGCATGCTCACCACTGTGTCATATAGCTGAGCAGAACCTGTGCTTGACCTTTGGGGTGCTGAAGGAGATGAACGGGCTGGGGTGAGTGTGGCAGCTAAAAAACGCCTCCCTCATTTGGCCCCCACATGTAGCTGTTTTGGAATGCAGCGCTTCCTTTCTTACTTTCAACTCTAACGCCGTGGCGGTCGCAGCACAGTGTTCAGTGGTGAGACCTCGTTTGTTACTGACATTCCCATTCCTTTTCGTCTAGAATCAGGATGAAGTTGTATTTCGAATATCTAAAAACAACAACAACAACAACAAACAAACAAACAAATAAATGCAGCCTGAGTCAAATCCTAGCTTCCTCACTGGCCATGGCTCCTACAATTCCCGGGGGACCCCCACCTGCCAGACCGGGACAGTCGTCCTCAGGAAGGCGCAACCCTGATGACATATCTGATGAGTTTGCTCTGTTGAGAGGGGATTTGAACAATTAAGGGAGAGTTTGGGCACAGAAGAGAGATAAATCTATAGAAAGCTGATCAAGAAAAAAAACGAGGCGATGATGAAATACCGGGAAGACCGAAGATGTGCAACGAAGGCAAAGCGATTGCGTTGGTTTAGGAGGCTCCATTCCCAGTAACATGTACAGATGGACAACAGTGTAAATGTTTATAATGTAAACATGAACATGCAAACGGATGTTGATCTAGCCGAGTTTATGGTAGACTCTGGGAGGGAGGGATGGGGGCACAGGAAGGGTGTGGGGTAGAGGACAGGGTGTGGTGGGAGAGAGTGAACCCGGATTGTCCATCACAGGAGCAAACGGAAATCAAAAGGGAGGACCGGGAGGCTATTTAGGCACGTGGACATAAGCATTAAAAGAATCACTTGAAAGCTGGTGCCTCTGGTGATGCAGAAGGGGAGGGTGGACGTGAAGCTGTGTGTAAGAAATGAAAGTTAATCTAGACTATGAAATACATTTTAAGGGTGAAGGGAGGAGGAAGTGCTTCAGGGGCGTCCATGTAGAAGTCGCTCCTCTCAGCCTCAGAGAGCCCCTGCCCAGCACTGTCACCTCGGCCACCCTCTTGCCTCTGGTCCCCTGAACACTTTAAGAGAATTCCAAGGACTTGCTTTCCACCAGACGCACTGGGAGGAGGAATCTGATGACCATCTACATGCAAATTCTATCATCACGCCTCCAACCTCCACTGAGGAACACAGACTCCTGCTCTCCCGCCGCCTCCCCTTGGCCTCCCCGAAGTTGGCCAGACAGACAGGCTGCTGTCTGCGCAGGTGAAACATGTCCCCAGGCATGCTCCAGGCGAGGGCATTCAGGCAGAGCCCTTGTTCCCCTGCAGCTCACATGCTCACGGGGGGGAGGAGGGGAGAAAAGGGAATAAACAGACAAATAAACAAGTACTGTGCCATGTGATGAGGTTATGGGCTGAATGTTTCTGTCACACACACCCTCAGATTCACATGTTGAAACTCAGTCCCTTAACGTGATGGTGTTAAGTGAGGTCTTTGCGAAGGCAGTTAGGAATAGGTGTGGTCATGAGGGTGGAGGTCCCAGGGTGGGCTTAGTGGCCTCCTAAGAGTCCCGAGCCCTGGCTTCCTCTCTGCTCCCCATGTGAGGACACAGCTTGGAGATGACGTCACAGGCCGGGAAGTGGGCTCTCATCCCACACCAGACCTGCTGGCACCTCCATCGCAGACTTCCAGCCTCCAGAGCTGTGAGCAGTAAGTATCTCTTGTCTAAGCACCCCTGTGTGGGGCATTTTGTTTTCGCCACCAGCTGACTAAGAGAGCGGATAAGTGCTACGAAGGAAAAGGAAGCCAGGCAAGGCGAAGGGGAAGGCTTTCAGGCACGGAGGTCCCAGGGCCCCTCCGGGGAGGGGTATCCATCGGAGCAGAGACCAGAGGCAGTGAGGCTGTGAGCCGTGAGCCTCTCTGGAAAGGGCTGCATTGCACCCGTTGCACCAATGAGGAAACTGAGGCTAGAGGAATTATATCCTGTGTCCATGCTCACATGCCTACAAAGTGACAGAGCTGGGATTGGAACCCAGAACTCCACATCCTGCCTCCCTCCCTGCCACATGCCTCTCACCTCT